GGACGTGTGAGGCTCTCGCTGATCGACATCATCACGCTCGACGCCCTCTTGGGCCACGGGACCCTCAAGCAGCTGCTCATCGTGCACCATACCGACTGCGGCGCGACACATTTCAAGGACGAGGACTTGAAGGCCGATACGATTGCGCGGTGCGTCCTTATGTCGTTTCGCCTATCCTTGTAGCTGTGCGAAACTGGATTCTTTCTAACCGTCATTCGTGCAACAGGCATCCGGAGAGGAGGGCGGAAATCGAGGCTTGGCCACCGATCTCGTTTCACGACAAGACGATCGCTGAAAGCGTGAAGGAGGATATTGAGGCCGCGCAGCAGAGTGAGCTGCTACCCGAGGCTCTGAAGAAGGGGGTGCGGGGATTCGTGCTCGACATCAAGACGGGTGTCGTCACTGAGGTTTGAAACATGTGAAGTATGCATGACGTGGCGCTCCCCGTGGTCTGAATGGAAGCAAGATATACTCTTGTTTGCCTTCTCGCTACCATATAGCCAAACTGTATTGAGGGGCTCTGATTACCCTAAACACAACAGCGATCGTCGACATTGGTGATGGGATACTACTTGGCAGAGTACAACTCTATTACGGTAGCCTGAGTTTTCGAGCTCGCATCCGGATCATTCGCCAGACTTCACGATGACGGGACCATCGACCAGCTCTCGCAGACCCTTGATGGTGGTCTGCGAGATAGAGTGACCGAGTCCCGACTCTGTGGGTGAAGGAAGATTGATCTCCAAATATGAGAGACGGTTTCGGTACGGAGTTGCACGTTGCGCAAGGACCTCTCGTAGACCAGAGCACTGGTTCCCTGAAACAGCAACCTCGAACTCCGTGGACGCCTCCTTTGAGGAGTCTGGGTTTCGCAGACGGATAATGAGCCTTGCAAGAGAAGGGCAAATGGTATTTTTCGGTCGTTTTGTTCGTTCCGACGGAATCGGTTGCAGCAGATCCAGCGTGTAGTCCACGTACGGCCCGCTCACGTCGAGCTCCTCCAGCTGCGGGAATGCGTGGAAGTCTATGGGAACACCGCTCTTTTCGAGGCTGAGTACGAGACGTGTGATTCGCGCGTGATCGCGAAAGACATTGATTAACCCGTCCGGAGAGAGGTTGTATTTATCCATGCGGAGACGTTCGAGATCGGCAGCGTAGCATCGGATGAAGTAGTAGTTTCGGTAGGAATCAGCGGTGTCAAGTCGCGCCTGTTCGATGTGCACGCAATCGACGGCTCCTACAATCGCGCGAAGCTGTGTATCATCCTCCTGTGGGAGGAGCTCGGAGAAACTAGGATCACGGTACCACGAACTGTTGACGAGATGGATGCGCAGCGTGGCCGGGAAGGGGAGCAAGATCATGAACTGGGCAATGGCCTTTGCATCATCGTTTTCAATGCGCAGGTAACGCAAAAGAGAGAATGTCGCAGGGGCAAGAGCTGGTGATGAAATCTCAGCGAAATTCCATGGCATGAGTTCTAACGTCTCCAGAGCGTCATGACCCACGAAGACACTGAGCGTGCCGATCCATTCGTGGTCTGGGTATGGGTGTGTCTCGCGGTCAGGTGACATGTTCTCCCACCACTGTAGCTTCAGATGTCTGAACGGAGTGTTGGAGAAGTGCCGGAGGATATTGGGGGGACAGGTTAACCGAATGAGTGAAGGGAGATGGTCAGCGGACAACATGGAAAGCTCGCTCCATCTCATGTCCTCGTACTCTTCGTAGAACCAGACCCGATAAACGTCGTCTGGGTCAGACCATGCGTCGATGTCCTGCTCTGTCACCAATACCTGGATGCATAGGTCCCGTAGACGTGGCATTCCGCAACGAAGCGCAGGCCATAGCCGGTCAGGTAGGTCGTCTTCGCCTACGGCCACCTGCAGCGACACAAGCCGGTCAAAGTATGAATCCAATGACTCGACGACACGAAGGGGGAATCCCCGGAAGCGAAGACTCATGCCGTGAGTGTGCGCTTTGGCGCGCGAGAGGAGGGCCTTCAAATATGGCACGGGATCATGGGTAGCATGTATTGCGTCGATCTCCTCGCTCTCCAATGCGCCTGCCCAGAATCGAGCGCTATGGAGAAGAATGTCGCGCCATCGACGGCAGACGTGGGAGAGATCCAGGCCAGCGCGGTTGTCCCATCTTTGTTGGAAGATCTGCTCGAGGATTTCGGTGGGAAGTCGATGAATGGGAGTGACAGCGTTGTAGATGGAGATAAGCACCAGTGCGAGCTTGCGGTACTCGTCCACCTTGGCTGTGGTCCAAGCATGGACGTCTGATACAGAGGCAAGCCCAGCGAGGACATTCCGATCGGTGACGGGCAAGTGTTCAGCGGCCGCTGGGAAGGGGATCTTGTTCCAAAGACTCATCGCGGTTTGTCTGGCTCTGACCCGGTCTAGAGCGTGACTTGTATCAGTAGAGGCCGTGAGATGCTCGCGATATAGGATACTTGCATTGATGTGTGGCGCTGGACACCGGCACTTCGTTGATTGTGAGGGCTATGTAGGAGATCAGAGCTGCCAGCAAGTTGAACAGTGCACGGTGCACCCCACGGAGTCATCGGCCGGATACGGGCGCCAGACGTCCACAACGGTTCTGCAAGCGACCTGCGCCGCTACAAATCACAAACCACCGCAAGCGTCTTGCACCCCAAATGCGAGTCGTTCGGTCTGGTCTCACGTAAGATCACCAAACTGCGGTTGTGGGAGAGGTGAGTCTTCGAAACGTTGTCAGGTGCCAGGCATCAGTAACAGCCGTACATGTGAGCTGCAGTGGCGCAGTACACCATATCATGTATCAAAAATCACGGCGGGATCTCACCACCAAGCCTCATCTCACTCAAGACAGCCGTCCACTCCGCCCGCGCAACATGCCGCATCTCCCTGTTGAACACCCTCCCGGCCACAGCCTGCACATAAGGCCGCAACGACACCAACTCCGGGAAAATCCACCCAAGAAAGACGCTGACGGTGCGCGCGTTCGCGCCGCCAATCATCGGTGTCGTCCAGAGCGACAGCGTCTTGAGGGGCGAGGGGCGCCGTTCTGTCCCGGCGGTGGACTGCCGATATGTATACCAGAACGCGTACGATGCGAAGGTGGCGCGAATAGCGAGGCTGAGGGTGGCCAGTTTGGGGCAGTGCTCTGAGAACGCGACCAGGCTGTCGAATGTAGGGAGGACGCACTGGCAGCCGGTTGGAAGCTCGAACGCCACGCCGGGCGGGGGCGTCAGGCTGAGTTCTTCGATATTGGGTAGGCCCTCCGCTAGCGCGCGCACAAAATCGTTGTCGAGTTGGATCATGATGTCGATTTCGATACGAACCGTTCGCAGGAGTCGAAATCTGACGAGATCGCGGAGGGCCTCGGGGCCGTTATCGAGAAATGTGTCGATGGTGACGTCTTTGTGACGTGCGAACATCTCCTTCTGGCCCTCTCCCAGGAGAAGGATGAAGTGCTCTAGTGCAGGCACCCGTGTGAGCTCCGACGTTGAAGGCGGCCGGTATAGGACGTCCAGCCATTCGGAGATGTGTTCGTCCATGCCCTTGACATCCTGAGCGTCCCACGTACAGAGTACCATGACTTTTTCAAGCGCAGGGGCGTCAAGGAGAGACAGTATCGCAGCAGGATTGGCATCTTGGCATGTTATGAGAAGGTTGCGCAGGTGAGGAATGTGCACCGGTTGGGATGATGCGCAACTCTCCGTAGATATTCGTCAGGGCGGATGTTGGCAGCAGTGGTGTGATCTGGTCGATGATGGCGAATTGGGCGCAGATAGCGAGTGCAGAGAGCGAATGATAGAGTTAAGGAAGAGCGAGAGAGAGAGAGGCATAGACACATAGACAAGAGGTTCAGGGCACCAAACTGGCACTCAGGGCTCTCCAGGCCCAGACAGAACAAAGCCCCACCCAGGCCTCAAACACAAACCGAAGAGGCTCGTCGCCATACGGACTAAAGAGCAGGTAGGTACATGATGAACTGGCAGTATCGATGTGCTATTTGTATGTATTTGGTCACTCGGCGATGGCCGGACGGCAAACTCCAACACTCCCACCCAGGGAGGGACATCGCAAGAGAGAAGAATGAAGAATGAAGAATTGTGTCCCCTCCGCACCACTGAGAAATAGAAAACCCTCCACAGACATCATCAACAGCAAGAAAGAAGGAAGACTCCCACCGAACCCAACACTTCTCCCGCTAAGTCTGAACAGCTCCCACCCAATCCCAAGAACGACAACTCCCCACATCACTCAATAACCATGACCCTCTGCCTATCAGGGTACCAACCGAGTGCTAACAATGGAGGCTTATAGGGAACTTGCCAGGCTCTAGGCGAAAGGAATGCTAGTGCGCTGAGGCACTGGTTGGGCAGCAAATGGTGCAGTTAATTGGGGGTGATGTTGGGTGATGAGTGGCGATGGATGGTGAATGATAAACTCGGGGCTGTGAAGACAAAGATTAGATCCGACTAGAGTCGAAGCAAGATCTTCAGTCAGTAAGGAAAGACTGTATTGCAGTAACCAACTGTACCTAGAGTCGAAGCAAGACTACAAAGGTCAAGTAAGTAACTACAAGTTAGAGATAGATGTAACGAAGTACTCACTCTTCAGTCAGTAAGGAAAGACTGAAGAGGGAGGACACAATCTGAAGTCCTTATATACTACAGAGAAGTGTCCATGACTAATTGAAGAGTGGTTAGTCACATGTACCATAGTGCGATGAATAATACAATAGACAAAAGGATTAGCGACGTATCGCATCATAGGATGAGTAAGAG